ATCCTAATTTCTGACTTTCTTGAAACGAAAAGATAAGTCGTTAATTAAGAGAATATTTTAAAAAAAAACTATAACAACAAACAGGCAAAATCTTTTTTAGAACTCTTTTTATTGAAGTAATACTCCAAACGAGATTCTTGATTAAAGATTTCATATGCTCCTAATTGAAGAGTTATTTTTTTGGACTTATCTAATAAATTTACTCCACCACAATTTTGATTAAATTGTGCATCATCACCAGCACATTTCCATGAACTTAATTCATTTGTTGACCATGGTTTTGGTGCATTTAAACTAACAAAAAGAGCTATAACAACAAGAACTGCAAAGACAATGAAAAGAAGGAAAAATCCAATCCTTGATATTGTTGTCAGTAAGAGTCTCTGTTCTTTGTTTGTGTTTAATACCCCAGAATTGTTCATATTTGAAGTTTTCAAGTTCTTTTCTTTCTTTTGACTTTTTTCTGAATACTTTTCTTTTTTTTTTTTTAAATAGGAAAACCCTTTTTCAACTCTTTTTTTGTGATTCACTCAAAAAAAATTTGTGTTATTCAATGACAAAAGGGTAAAGCCTAAGGAGCAGAAATCGATGGTTCTTTTTGTAAATAAAAAAAGAAAGAGAATAATAAAAATAGTTAAGGAATAATAAAAAAAGATAAAAAGGATAAAAATAAGAGATAAAGATTTAAAAAGAACAGAAAAAGACTAAATAGAATATTCTAAAAAATAATCTCCTAAAATTTAAAGAAATAGTTGAACTATAAAAAATGAAGTAGAAATAGGTCTTATATGATAGGCACAATAGTCACTTCTTTTATTATTGTGATTTGTACTATATTATTCTTTTTAAGAAAGAAACCACTTCCCAAAGAGAAATTTGGATGTTGGGTTGGTGAAGCACATCCACATGAAACAAGAGTAAGAAGAAATATTATTGGAAGGGAAAAATTAATTGACAGACCAGACCAAGGATATACTACATTATATCAACTTGTAGAATCTTTTCCAACTAAAGGACAAGACCATTTAATTGGATATAGAGAAGTTATAGAAAAAGTTCCATTTAAAACAGTAAAGACTGTAGTAGAAGGAAAGGAAATAGAAAAGACAATGTACAAATATAAAATGAGTGATTATAAATATTTATCAGATAAACAATATTATGAATATATTCATAAATTAGCTAATGGAATATATTCTCTTGGATATAGAAAAGGGGATAAAATAGCTATATTTTGTGAAACTAGATATGAATGGATGGCATTTGTTCTTGCATGTGCATGTAGAGGAATTATAGTTGTTACTGTTTATGCTACACTTGGAGCTGATGCTGTAGATATTGCATTAAAAGAAACAGAAGTAAAAGGAGTTTTAGTTTCAGAAGAAACATATGAAAAAACAATTCATTTAGATGTTTATAAATCAATTAAATTAATAAGTTGTGATCCATTAGAAGATAAAACAATTCCAACACTTCCATCTATTTTAGATGCACCAAAAGTTGAAGATGATATTCCAAAAGAAGAAGATGTAGCAATGATTTTATATACATCAGGAACAGCAAAAGAACCCAAAGGAGTAGTTGTATTACATAAGAATTTACTTTGTATTACATATTCGTATAACCATGTAATGGGATATACAAATAAAACTCGATATATTTGTTATTTACCATTAGCTCATATTTTTGAATTAACAATTGAATTTTGTAATTTAGTATATGGAGGATGTTTAGGATATTCTTCTCAAAGAACATTAACATCAACATATATGTATGATAGTGAATGTGATATGATTGCATTTCAACCATCATTTATGAATGGAGTACCAACAGTATTTAATAGAATAAGAAAAGTTGTAACAGATAAAATAGAAAGATCATCATGTATTGTTAGATTTTTATTTAATACAGCGTTTCAATTTAAAAAGAAATTTTATGTTGATTATCAATTAAGACCAAGATATTTGTTTATTCCATTTATTAAATTATTTGATTCTCTTGTCTTTAAAAAGATTAAAGAAGAAATTTTTGGTAAAACATTATTTGCTGTTATTATGGGAGGTTCTCCTTTATCTGAAGATCTTCAAGAATATCTTCAAGTCATTCTTGCAGGTGTAGATATTATGCAAGGATATGGTATGACTGAAGCTTGTGGTCCAGTTTCAAATATGCTTCATGGAGATTTTGCTTATAAAACTATTGGAGTATTATATCCACACTTTGAAGCCAAATTAATTGATGTAGAAGATATGGGATACACTACTGATAAAGAAATACCACAAGGAGAGTTATTATTAAGAGGACCTGCTTTATTTAAAGAATATTTTAATAGACCAGAAGAAACTAAAAATTCGTTTACTGAAGACGGATGGTTTAAAACAGGAGATATTGCACAAATTGCACCTTCAGGAAGAATTCAAATTATTGATAGAAAGAAGAATTTGGTTAAACAACCATGTGGAGAATATATTTCACTAGAGAAATTAGAAATGGTTTATAATTTATCAAAATATTGTGATATGTTTTGTGCTATGCTAATCA